ACATTGCAACTACCACCACCATGACAACTACCACCACCATCACAACTACCACCACCATCACAACTACCACCACCATCACAACTACCACCACCATCACAACTACCACCACCATCACCACCACCACAACTACCACCACCAACAACAACAATAACAATTCCTGGAATTCTTCACCAAAATACAGTAGTTCAGCTATTTTCCTCATTTCCACGAATGCTCTCCTTCCTACCATAATCTTATCCCATCCCTCACTCCTTCCTACGATGATCTTATCCCATCCCTCACTCCTTCCTACGATGATCTTATCCCATCCCTCACTCCTTCCTACGATGATCTTATCCCATCCCTCACTCCTTCCTACGATGATCTTATCCCATCCCTCACTCCCCTACGATGATCTTATCCCATCCCTCACTCCTTCCTACGATGATCTTATCCCATCCCTCACTCCTTCCTACGATGATCTTATCCCATCCCTCACTCCTTCCTACGATGATCTTATCCCATCCCTCACTCCTTCCTACCATAATCTTGTCCCATCCCTCACTCCTTCCTACCATAATCTTGTCCCATCCCTCACTCCTTCCTACCATAATCTTATCCCATCCCTCACTCCTTCCTACGACAATCTTATCCCATCCCTCACTCTTTCCTACGATAATCTTGTCCCATTTCCTGATTTCTTCCTTTCTATGATGTTCCCCTTACCTCACACCCCATTCCGTTTTTTTTCTATGACAATTTCCTTACCTCGTACCTCGTTACTGCCTCAGACGACCTCCTTGTCTTACTCGTTATTTGCTTCCTAACAAGACGAACTCCTTCACTCGTTTCTTCTTACGCTGATCTCCTTGCCTCACTCCTATCTCCTTATGACTATATCCTTCCCCACTCTACTCTTCTTCCCTATGACTATCTCCCTACTCCTCTCCACCATACAACAGCAAGCTACACACACAAAAAAAAAGCGTCCAAATTGCGTTTTCTGCGGTAGAATGAAGCGTGAGTAGGTGTGGGTGCATGGGTTGGGTTCCCAGGCGGGCTGGAACATTGCCATTACCACGGAGGTCAACCTTGCTCCTGAGGGCCGGCCCATAACATCGTCTTCACTGGCCCAGAACACCATCTTGGCTTGCCTACAAGACCCTTTTAAACGGCCTGTAAGGCCGTCTTTTTCGGTCCATTAGACCCTACCGCCAAATCCCTCGCTCTAAAAACACCTTTTATCTAAAGATTATTTTTTTTGGTGCGATATTGTTGCTACTGTGTTCTTCTTGCGTGGTAAATCAGTTAAACATAAACGTTGTCGACTACACGATGATTATTAAAGCCGAATTTCGCCTGTACATTAACATCACGGATACTTCAATCCAAGAAATCGGATAACATTAAGCCCTTAATGTATATACCAATGTCGATGGTACGGTCAGAATCTGGCGTAAACCTTTGGGATGTGGTAGAATGGGAGATTCGCAGCATGAACGTGCAGCCAAAAATCTGCAGCAAATGCGTGATGCTATCATGTCAATATGGACCAGGATCTCAAAGGAATGTTTCCAGCACCTTGTTGAATCCATGCCACGAAGAATTCAAACTGTTCTAGGGGCAATGGGGGAAGGGGGGAGGGGGCTTTACCCAGTACTAGAAAGATGTACCTAATGAAGTGGCTACTGAGTGTACATTTGTGTACAGGTATGATAATACAGCAAAATAGCAATATGGCTACAACTAATAATAATAATTATTAAAAATAATAATGATAATAATAATAATAATAATAATAAATAATAATAATAATAATAATAATAATAATAATGACCAGAATAATGCACCTTATAGTTTTTATTGTCATCAGTTACACTCTCTACAACTCTCTGTTTAAGGTTCCGGAGATCATTGGTCATGTGGTCCTGTCATTGACCTGGCCTCTTGGTTGATGGCTTGTTCAGTCAGGATGTTGATACAAGCTGCCGGCAGCTTACGTCGCCACCCACCGCAGCTCAGCTAGTTAAGAACTGTTTGAAGAAATCAAATGGTTGTCTTCAAGAGGGAGCTGGACAGATACCTAAAGTCGGTGCCGATTCAGCCGGGCTGTGGTTCGTACGTTGGACTACGTACGGCCAGCAGTAACAGCCTCGTTAATCAGGCCCTGATGCACAGGGAGGCCTGGTTGTGGACCGGGCCGCGGGGGCATTGACCCCCGGAACACCCTCCAGGCATTCTCCAGTATTCTCTCTTGAGGACAGGGGGTCGCTTGATAATTGCCCTTATAATGTATTTGGATCCTTTATGGGTACTGATTTACCTTCGTGTACCCAAAAGAAAAAACTACTTTTCACTGGGGGTCTTGTACACCCTATAATGTCTCCAGTTGTCAAAGAGTGAGTAATTCCAGTGACCAGAGTTTAAATTATTTCCTCTAATATTTTCTGGCATAAAATTATATATTTCTCACCTGCACTTCACCTGGAGTCTACTTGGAGAGTGTTCCGGGGGTCAATTCCCCCGCGAACCGATCCATGACCAGGCCTCTCAGTGGATCAGGGAATGATCAACCAGGCTGTTACTACTGGCCGCACGCAATCCAGCCCGGATGTTCTGGTAATGCTTTTAGGTCAGTACAAGGAGTACAGCCTGAGAAAGCGTAGGCGTTCCCAGTAAAAAGCGACCATAAGGCTGGCCACTTTGGATTATCTGTGTGTCTGTCAAACTGCCAGAAGCACTTGCAGTTAAGCCTAACCCTGGCTACCACAACATCAGTCATTCTGTTTACATGGCAAGTTGCTTATCCGCGTTGTATCACTCACTATAATAACATGAACGTAGGATAAACATATCTACGGAGAAATATGTATTGTGAACAGACAGACTGATGTTGTAGTAGCCAGGCTTAGGCTTGGTTACAAGTACTTCCTGTGGTTTGACAGACAACAGATGATAAACAAAGTAAGCACAAAGCACGTGGTCAGCCATATGGTCACTATGTGCGGTCTTTGTCCATTTGTTGAGGAATATAGAAATAGTATGTAATAACCGATGTGATATGTCAAGGTATATTATTTATGAAGAAAAAGCTGCCAGACATATTAAGCAAATAGTCAATATTTGTTTGCAACACAGAAGACAATGTACAAATAAATCCAGATGTATTCCTCTTACCCTTTATGGGCCTATTTATTAGGCCTTTATGCGTATCCATATACTTTTGTTCTACCGTCTACAAGAATGATATGGAGTTTCCTGCTCTAAAATATTTCTGCACTTTCTCTAGAACTGCAATTTTGCATTTTAACTAACGTGTTAGTGTACAAGAATTAGCAGCAGCATCAGCAGCATCAGCAGCAGCAGCAGCGGCAGCAGCAGCAGCGGCAGCAGCGGCAGCAGTAGCAGCAGCAGCTGCAGCGGCAGCAGCAGTAGCAGCAGCAGCAGCAGCAGCGGCAGCAGCAGCAGCGGCAGCAGCGGCAGTAGCAGTAGCAGCAGCAGCAGCAGCGGCAGCAGCAGTAGCAGCAGCATCAGCAGCATCAGCAGCAGCAGCAGCGGCAGCAGCAGCAGCGGCAGCAGCAGCAGCAGTAGCAGCAGCAGCAGCAGCGGCAGCAGCAGCGGCAGAGGCAGCAGCAGCAGCAGCAGCAGCAGCAGCAGCAGCAGCGGCAGCAGCAGCAGTAGCAGCAGCAGCAGCAGCGGCAGCAGCAGCAGCAGCAGCGGCAGAGGCAGCAGCAGCAGCAGCGGCAGAGGCAGCAGCAGCAGCAGCAGCAGCAGCAGCAGCAGCTGCAGCAGCAACAGCAGCAGCAGCAATAGCAGTAGCAGCAATAGCAGTAGCATAGCAGGAGTACATCAGGTATCGTTACATGGCAGGAGTACATCATGTATCATTACTTGGCAGGAGTACATCAGGTATCGTTACATGGCAGGAGTACATCATGTATCATTACATGGCAGGAGTACATCAGGTATCATTACATGGCAGGAGTACATCAGGTATCGTTATATGGCAGGAGTACATCAGATATCATTGCATGGCAGGAGTACATCAGGCATCGTTACATGGCAGGAGTACATCAGATATCATTGCATGGCAGGAGTACATCAGGCATCGTTACATGGCAGGAGTACATCAGATATCATTGCATGGCAGGAGTACATCATGTATCATACAGCAGCTATACATCATGTATCATTCTATTGCAGGAGTACATATATCATTATAGTGCAGCTGACCATCATGCATCGTTGCAGTGTCCTTTAATTTCGGGCCCTCTGAGGCCTGATTAGGGCTCTCAATGCATGGAACTGGAGCTACCCTCTCTCCACTCTTGGATCGAACTTGTTTGCTTCCCATTCCCCCAGGGCGCTGCATGGCCACTCTTTACGTGTATGATACTTCCCCGTGATTAGTCATTATTTTTGAGTTGCTCTTATTGGCTACATCTCTTTAAACAGTAATTAATTCCAGGAAGTGGAGGAAATGCTCTTTGTGACAATTGCTCTTTAAAGAGCTGATGCAGCGGTCTCTCTGTTTCTTGATACAGTTCAAATAATCAAATTTTATTTCCATTTATTCCCAGGAGAAAGTGAGTTAGGATTAAAGAAAGTTACTAGAGGTGAGGTGGAGAAATTTAGCTTAGAATGTCATAGAGGATAGCAAGAAAATAATCTTTGAGAATACTGAAAGTAACTGAGGATGAGGGGAAAAGTTACTGAGGATGAGGGGAAAAGTTACTGAGGATGAGGGGAAAAGTTATTGAAGATGAAGGAAAGTAAATGTATAGAAGGAAAACAACTGTGGTTGGTGTAAAGTCATATATGTTGAAAAGTAACTGAGAATGGGAGAAAGTCAATGAGAATTGGGAAAGTAACTGAAGACAAGAATGTAAGTGTGGATGAGAAAATAACTCAGGATGCGAGAAAATCATTGTAAATGGAGTGTCAGGTGAGCAAAACTAAGAATGAATGTTCAGGTTTATTGGAGCACTTTATACAGGGACATATAATACAGACTATACAGGTTGTTGCTAGGGACGGGCAGCCTCACGACACCAGGTCATCCCTATATGGCTGGAACAATAGGCGAGGCACCTTACGTTGCTTGGGGGAGGCGCCCCTGTCCTCCGGGCTGACTAGGGGGCTCCTACGATCCGAAATAACAGGAGGCGACGGGGGTTCAGAGTGTGTTCGAGAGGCAGTGGGTGGGGTGAGTGTTTGGGCGTGGGTTAGACTGGGATAGAATAGACCGCATAAACACCCATCGCCGCCCACTTTCGGGGATTCTCGGGCGGGGCAAGTGGGTAGGTGGCCGTTCATGCTTTGAATTACGGGAGTTGGTGACATTACAGGGATGGGGAGGCCTAAGGGTCTGCTGTACGGCGGGGAAGGAATAGACGGGTGTGGCCGGGGATATGGACTGAATCTTGACATCGAGGGAGTGTGTGCAGGGCTGGTGTACCCTGGAGGCTGCGCTCTTGCAGCGGCGGCGGCGGCGGCCCACGGGGAAGTGTTGGCGAAGTATGGTGGGTAGGTAGCAGCGGCCGCGGCGGCAGCAGCAGCGGCATGAAGTATATAGGCAGTGAGGGTTGGGTCAGCGTAGGGCCAGACTAGAGCAAGTCGCTGACGTTTGTCCTTCATGCGTCGATTTTGGAACCAGACCTGTGGACATAACACAAGAAAACATATATATATATATAATATATATATATATATATATATATATATATATATATATATATATATATATATATATATATATATATATATATATAACTACTGTAGACCTACTGGTACTAACTGACTCTGTATAATGCTGTTAATTAATAGGAAGGAATTACCACAATGAATTTGATCATTTAAAACATAAGCAGTGTTACGTGATCAACTGTATGTACACGCGATACAAAATACCTCAGTTATAACACTATGTTGAAGTATGAAAGTGTTTCAGGTTTACCTATGATGTAAGAAAGTTAAATATATTTTCCACCATGAAAAAGTGCTAAACTCGGTGAGAATAAATGAGCTAAATAATAGTATCGTAGACTTCACATACCTTGATAGTGGCTTCGGGAAGCCCCAGCTCCTGGGCCAGTTCACACCGTCTTGGTCGACTGATGTAATTCTCCCTCAGGAATTCCTTTTCCAAATGAGTGATTTGCTCTCTGGTGAAGGCGGTCCTGTATCTCCGCAGCTCTGCCATCGACTGCTCGCCAGAGCACGGTGACGCTTCCGTCACCTTCGTCTGCGACTCTGTGATAGTAACGACTGTACTGGTGCCTGTAGTGGTGCTCGTAGGCTTGCAGTCTGAAATAACCATATCGAATAAATTTTCTGAAATTTTATTTAAACTATCTGGACTAATTTTTTTTTATGGATTATAGAGATATTTTAGATTGATTCCTTACAAAATGCCAAGTTTGTACATCTCTACTGACTGTAAAAGATGTAATTTATAAATTGCAAAAATTTATTTATATGTCTTGTAATATCTCTATACGTGTCTTAATCTAAATAACGAATTTAATGACTAACTACCCACATTCCTCTACAGTGACCACAAGAGCAACTTCCCGTACACCTTACCAACGGGACTGTCCTTGACGTTGCTATTCTCGTCTTTGGTGACGGGAGGCGGTGTGGGGGGCGTGGTGCTGGGGACGGGTGGGTTGCAGGGGGATCTCACAGGCACATGATGACCCTCTAAGAACTGCAATCTGTCTTCAGTTCCGCTCAGCATCTCTGTTGAAACACGGAATGGCTGCATGCTCGCTTCCCGTAGGTATCACTACATATCTTAGTTCATACTCGTAGGTCAGGTTCACGGAATACAAGTACACGCCAGGGAGGAAAGGTCTCTCTCACTGGGTAAAGAAGCTGTTGTCTGTTTGGCACAGTTTCACGGCACTAATGTTTACGCTCCAGCGATATCATGAAGAATAAAGATGCTTGAGTGGTCTGATGCGCCCGAATGGCAACCAGCAAGCATCCAGGCCCTGGTTGGCTGCTTCCTCCTGGGCGGAGCCACGCCCAGCCACCCAGTCACACCTAGCCAGTCAAGTCCTCCTTCCTGTGTAGGCTCCACCCCCCAGAGATTTAACGTTGCTATTGGTGAATGTGGTTAATGGCTCTGTTGAATTACTTTGATCAGAATTGATTGTGATATAACGAGATATTTTTCCTACCCTTTAAACTTTCTTGCACTCAGTATATCCCCATAAGCCCTAAGAATCGCCCATGTAATGTTTTTAAGCAATAATATCGCGCAGGTTTGGACACCCCAGCTGCCGGAGCACAAGAGAAGGAATCACAGCATTAAGTCACTTGTCAACAGAAATGCTAACACTATTGGCTAGCCTGCGGGTGCAGAGAACCCTGGTCTCAATTAGGGTTTCATTAAGGAATATTTGATCCAGGGCGTCTTGCTGTGGTTTGCCAGCGCTATCAGGGTTTCCATTGCCTGCTGCAGTTTAGCTCAATTACACCACAATTGCGACTAATTCCCTTCAACCCATTTGGCCTAAATCGATCTTGATGGTTATCCGACGGTGTAATTTCATCAAATAGTCTCTCCCCTTAAGCGGGAGATCGTCTCGAGTTTTATATTGCTGCCTTGGTAAGTTGTTGCCAGCTTAGGTAGAGCGTTTGTTTTGATTGTTTGAGAGGTGAAATAAGAGAGGGGAGGGGAGGATGTGGCAATGAGGCGAGGGGCAAATGAAGATGAAAATGAGTTAGGAATAAGGGAAGATAAAGGAACGAAGGGCAAGAAGAGAAATGATAATAGAAAATGGAAGGGGCAATAATGGTACAGAGAACAATAATAAAATGGAATAATCACACACACACATATATATATATATATATATATATATATATATATATATATATATATATATATATATATATATATTATATAATATATATATATATATATATATATATATATATATATATATATTTAAAATATAGGGAGGTACCACCTCTAGAACTGTCGTAGGGACCCTCATCCTCAGAGAAAAGAAATAAACTTGCTTCAGGGAAAACTTAAGGTTCTCCCTGAAGCTGTTTGAGAATTTTCTCCTACCACCCCTATATTTCAAGTATGTTTTATTTAAAGACAAAATACATTGGCCAAACATTCACAAAAATACAACAGAAAGTAAAACAACATAGATAACTCAGAGCTACATCTCGAATACTTCGTCCAGCTCCCCTGCGGTGGGCCGCGTGCCCAGAATGCTGCAGGCATTTCCTCTCTGGATCGCAACACTGAGTCTCTGAAAGAGGAAGCTGGTCGCCCTGTGGTCCTTGGTTTCTATGATGAGCTTTTCACCTAGCTCTTTGAGGAACTTTAGAGCACACTTGCCCCATGCTCCAAGGGTCTCCGACCCTTGCAATAATTTCGCCAAAATCATTCTGAACCTAAAAAAAAAAATATATTTCACTGTGTTTGTTTAGTATTAAATTATTGTAAAGAAATCTAAAATATGTTTAGTTGGGTTAGGCTAAAATAAATTGCTCTTGTTATAATAAGGTTAGGTAAGTTTTCTAAGATTCTTTTGGTGCAAAATTAAATTTTTGTACATTAACATTAATGAAAAAAATATATCTTTAAATGTATAAGAGAAAATTTTAGAAAGGACTTAATTTTAAATGAATTCTTGCTAATTGACCAGTTTTACATATTCGACACGACATATATATATATATATATATATATATATATATATATTTTATATATATATATATATATATATATATATATATATATATATATATATATATATATATATATATATATACCTGGAGGTTACCTGGAGGTTATTCCGGGGATCAACGCCCCCGCGGCCCGGTCCATGACCAGGCCTCCCGATGGATCAGGGCCTGATCAACTAGGCTGTTACTGCTGGCTGCACGCAGTCCAACGTACGAGCCACAGCCCGGCTGATCCGGCACTGACTTTAGGTATCTGTCCAGCTCTCTCTTGAAGGCAGCCAGGGGTTTATTGGCAATTCCCCTAATGCTTGATGGGAGGCTGTTAAACAGTTTTGGGCCCCGGACACTTATGGTGTTTTCCCTTAGTGTACCAATGGCGCCCCTACTTTTTATTGGGGGCATTTTGCATCGCCTGCCCAGTCTTTTACTTTCGTAGGGAGTGATTTCTGTGTGCAGATTTGGGACAATTCCTTCCAAGATTTTCCAAGTGTAGATTATGATATATCTCTCCCTCCTGCGTTCCAACGAGTACAAGTCAAGTGCTTCCAAGCGTTCCCAGTAGTTAAAGTGCTTGACAGAACTTGCCTTGAAAATGACCCTGAGATTATAGCAGTAATCCAACGCACACAGAATGACTTGAAAAATATCTTCAGTATCTCGGAATCTCTAGTTTTCAATCTTCTGGTTATCCGACATATCATTATTCTTGAAACTGCGATATAACATCGCTGTGGTTAATGAATTCACATTCATTAACCACAGCGATGTTATATCGCAGTTTCAAGAATAATGATATGTCGGATAACCAGAAGATTGAAAACTAGAGATTCCGAGATATTGAAGATATTTTTCAAGTCATTCTGTGTGCGTTGGATTACTGCTATAATCTCAGGGTCATTTTCAAGGCATGAGATTTTGCAGATTTGGAAAAGCGTACAGAGATAATTCACTGCTCGTTTAAATTCATTAAACCATCCGAACTATAACACACGCTTGAAGCCGTTTATAATTATATTCCTTGGAAGGAAGGTGAGGAAAAAAATTATAATCTACACCTGGAAAATTGACATTGACACTCCCAAGTCCCCCCTATTAAACTTCAGCTCTAGTCTGTGATTCGAGTTTGTCTTGTATTCCGTTTTGGTCTTAAGTTCCTTAAATTTTCCATCGCTGAGTAAATGAAATTTGTCCTCTATGAACTTCATGTAGTTGTGAGTGACTCACTGGAAGACTTGGTTTATATCAGTATATAGATTCTTTGTGTCCTCGATGGACACCACCTTCATACAAATTCTGGTATCGTCTGCAAAGGTTATGGTGCTATGATTTATGCTCGTATGTATGTCAGATATAAGAATGAGAAAGAAAAGTGAGATAAGTACTGTGTCTTGAAGAGCTTTGCTTTGTGACAGCCGTCGATTTCACTCTGTTTACTATTACTATTTGGGTTCTATTTGATAATAAGTTTAGTATATATATGTTATGTAAAAGATCACATGTGCACCTAATGCGATATTTTTATTGAGGCAACGTTTCGCTCTCCAGGAGCTTTGTCAAGCCGTTACGCGTGTGTCCGTTTACCTAACGTGACGGCTTTACAAAGCTCTTGGAGAGTGAAACGTTGCCATTATAAAAATGTCTCATTAGATGCACATGTGTAATTTTACTTAACATATTGCCGGTAATTTTACCAGCATTACTATGAGTATATTCCTTTTGTGTGTATTTTGTGTACTGTTACCATGGTCTCACTTGTCGAGGTGTTTTGCAAAGTCTGTGTACACTACATCTGCATTTAGCTTGTTTTTCAGTCCATCAAAGGCTGTCATAATGGTCTACCAATTGTAAAAACCAGGATCGACTCGCCCTAAACATGGATTGCCCTGAGTTGTGCATTATTTGTGATTTCATGTGACTGGCGACTTTCCTTCTTAAAACCTCTCAAAGATTTTGGATAAATGTGACGTTAGCGCTATCGGTCTATAGTTTTTGTGCGTTGGTGATCTATCGGTAGTTCATAAGGAATGGAACGATACGTGTATTCAGGCTCCTCCATAGAATTTTTATTTTTTTTTTTTGCAGAACTTACTGAGGAATAAATTCCAAAGTCTAGGCTTAGGGCAGAGTGCAGGCGCATGCTATCAGTGGCTTCCTCAAGGTTAAATGGGCTTTGGGTTACGTCGGAAACCGTAGAGATGTCAGCAGGATTTCAAGTCTCATTCATGAAAAACTCATATATGCCGTAAATCTTTACACTGATTAATGGTTCAATGAACACAAAGTCGTATTGTGACTTTGTTTTGTTATCGCCAGTGTATGTTTCATCTCTTTTAAGTAAGATTGTAATATTAGATATGGTTTTTTGCCCTGGATTTTGCTTATTTTGAATTTCTTCTAATTTCATTTATGGCTCTTGATTCCCTCGGTCTCTCCTGAACTATATTACTCATTTAGTTTGAACTTAACGTTCTTTACTTTTCTACGTAGTGTTTCCTTTCATTCTTTAGAAAGTCTACTGCCTTTGAGAAGCTCCGTTATCTGTTGTTGTCACCTCTTTAATTTTCCTTTTCTCTAATCTTTTTTTTTTCTTGGTAAGGTATGTGTCTGGAACATACATAGTGTCACGCATCCCATCTTCCAGAGATACTGGTTCAGATCAATGCTAGTCACGTCGTCTTCCTAACATATTCCAATAAGGTCACGTTATTTGGTCCCGGATGATATTCGTATTGTTGAACCTGAATTTGTTGAATTTCCCGTCAAGGATGATTGCAGTTTGTTTTGAAGGCCGTATATGTGGGATAGGTACGTATCACGATTGAGGTGTATGATCTGAGTTCCGCCGTTTTTTCACATTACGTCCCCGTCCATTTCCTCATCATTTTTAATATAAGAGTCGGAGGGTTAATTGCCCTTGTCTGCTTGGTTCCACTGTCTGCTGGCTTAAGGTGATTTAATTGCAGTATCTTAATAATTCCATTGTGGTGTGAAACTTTTTATCTTAATTAGCTCCTGGGGTTTTCTTGCTTTTTTAGTCTTTGCTACAAACTT